GTTAGGGGGCTGCGCCACAACATTATTATTATTATTATTTACTATTTCTCTCCTGCTGGAGCAGCAGCTTTGCAGCAGCTCAAGATTTCCCCCTGGCTAGGGGGCTGTGTGACTGCGGCAGTAGGGTGGCTGATCAAGATCTCAGCCAACCCTAGATCCTCATTATCATCCATCAGGGTATGCTCACACAGCACACCCTCGATCTGCAAAGTTGCAACTAGGGGCTGATCAAGATCTCAGCCCCCCCACCATCCTCCAATTGGTTGGCTGCAGCGAAGGCCAAGACCCTCTTGGTCTTGGTATACCTTGTGCCCTTGGAGACACCAAGGGCCAGGTATCATCTCTCTCTCCCCTTTTCTTTCCCCCACCTTCCACTGCCTCTCTCCCCTCCTCTTTTTGCCTTCCCCACCCCACCTTTTCTCCCACTAACCACTATCTTACCCTCTTTTCTTCATTTCTTTTCTTTTCTCTCCTCCTTCTTTGCTCTTAGTTTCTTGATCACTCTCCATCTTTCCCCATCCTCTTTCTCTCCCATTCTCTCACCCTCCTCTCCCCCAACTGCCACCACATCATCCCCCCACCTTCCACTCCATCTTTCTCTCCTCCTTTTATCTTCCCCACCCCACCTTTTCTCCCACTAACCACTATCTTACCCTCTTTTCTTCATTTCTTTTCTTTTCTCTCCTCCTTCTTTGCTCTTAGTTTCTTGATCACTCTCCATCTTTCCCCATCCTCTTTCTCTCCCATTCTCTCACCCTCCTCTCCCCCAACTGCCACCACATCATCCCCCCACCTTCCACTCCATCTTTCTCTCCTCCTTTTATCTTCCCCACCCCACCTTTTCTCCCACTAACCACTATCTTACCCTCTTTTCTTCATTTCTTTTCTTTTCTCTCCTCCTTCTTTGCTCTTAGTTTCTTGATCACTCTCCATCTTTCCCCATCCTCTTTCTCTCCCATTCTCTCACCCTCCTCTCCCCCAACTGCCACCACATCATCCCCCCACCTTCCACTCCATCTTTTTCCCTCTCACTCCTATTTCTTTCTTCTCTCCATCACTTTCTCATCCCCCCTTCCCCCCCTACTTCAAATTTTTCTGTTTTTCTTTTTTCTATCTCCTTTTTTATTTATATATATATATATTTTTCCAAAAATTTGAATTATCTTCTTCCCCTCCTTCTTTTCTCATTTTCTGATTTATTTTTTTTATTTTTCTATTTATTCTGAAAATTTGATTTTTTTTACGGCAACCCTAAATCTGATTAGGTGTTCGTCTTTACTACTTTCGGCACACGTTTTGACCCCGTGGGGGTAACAAAGTGCTGCCGAAATTTTCTGTTTTTTCTTCCACTTAGTCTTCTCGGCACACTTCGACCCCATGGGGGTAACGAAATGCTGCCGGAATTTTTGACAAATCAGATACTTCATTTCTCCCTACCTCCTCACCCACGTATTTACTTATTTATTTATTTATTTATTTATTTATTTATTTATTTATTTATTATTATTTGCGGCATCTTGAAACCTAGTGTGCTCACCTTGGTCTCTCCTTTCCCCTTGGCACATTCTTGATCCCATGGGGGGTAGGGAACTGCTGCCGAAAATTTCCAAAAAAATAAATACTGTTTCTCTCTTCATATTTTGTTTACTTGTTTCTTTAAATATTTCTCTTATTTATTTTCTTTTCTTTTTCTCTCGAAATGTCACTGTTTATTTATTTTCCTCCCGCCTCCCCCCCCTAAGCTTCCTATTTTATTTTCTTGATCAGGTCACCGGTACTGTACCCTAACCACTCAAACTCCGGTTAGGGTTTTCTTAGGGTTTTTGTAGGGTTTTGGGTTCTTAAAAACCCCCCTACTTACCCGTCGTCTTCGGGCACCCTGGACCCGAACCACCCCTCCCCCTTTGACGGCGCCCGCACTAGCCTTGCTAGCGTCGTTCGCCGCTTTCTACCGCGGACTTTCCCCTACGCCCTCCGCTCACGCGGACCTCTTCTGGCCCCCTCCAGTCCGGTTCGTCATCTCCCCATGGCCGACGGTGTGGTACACGCCGCCGACACGGCGATGACCACGGCATCGGGCTCCACACCCGTGCCGGCGGACCAGGGCCATCAGCCCCAGGGGGATCTGCACACCCTCCTCACCTCCCTCCTTGCGCCCATCCAGGCGCAACTCGCGACGCTCGTGCCCTTACCCAGGGACCATCAGCGTATGCGGGCCCTTCTTCACCCCGCCTCCTCCTCCCAGGCCCAGCGTACTGGTTACGCCTCCTCCTCCTCTCACGACACTTCCCAGCGCCGTTCCCCTTTTCGCGATCGCCCCCGCCGTTCCACGCAGCAGGGCTGCCACTTCTTGCGCCGCTTGAGCGCGCTCGAGTATGGTGAGCAGGACGCTGGTGCCCCGCTGTCACCAGAGGGTGACCATAGTGCCGACCTCGACCTCGGCGAGGCCGTCCACCACCACCTGGAGGACCCTACTCTCCCTATGGCTGGTCGCCTCCAGCTCATTCTCTCCACCCTTTCTCGGGCACGCAGCCGCCCTGGTCACGCTGGCGCATCGCCCCCCGAGGTCCCTCAGGAGGACCTCCCTCAGGACTTTGTCCCTCCTCGCGGTGTCCTTTCCGCTCAGGAGCGAGCGACTATTTTGGGTCGGCGTGGGTGTTTGCGTTGCGGCTTGGACGGTCATACCCCCTCGCGGTGCCCTTACACTACCGCCCTCGACCGCCACTACGCTGACCTTTCCCGCCAGCGTCGTGCTTCGTCCCCCCCCAGCGCCTCGCATCCCCGCGGTGCCTCCTAGCCACGGTGCATTGTACACCTGCGCCCTCCTCAGTAGTCGGCTTCCCAACATGTCTTTCGCGGTTCGCCCCTCTCGGTACAGGAGCTGAGGTATCGCAGGACTCGACAGAGTGTACTCAGCCCTCTGTCGCAGTACCATTTGTGCCTCCGCAGACCACCGTCTCCCCTCCTTCCCCGCCACGACTACCGACGCGTCGAGCCATTCGCTCAGCCCGTTGCAGCAAGCAGCTCGCTACTCACGAGGACGTTGTGTCCTCTCTTCTGGACTTGAGCATGCTCCAGGCTCGTCAGCAGCGACTCACCCTCCATGTCGCTGCACTGCGTCGCCTTCTCGCCATCCTCTCTGACCCTGATCGCACCCTCCCGATCATCCCAGTACGACTCGGGACCTCCACGAGGGTGTACTCAGCGTTGTGGGATTCCGGTTCTTAGGGCAACTTCATTCACCCACGCGTGGTGAAAGAAGCCTGCTTACCCACGACAGGGTCTCCGACTCCCATCTCCGTCACCCTAGGGGATGACAAGACCCAGCGCTTCTTCGATCAGACGGTCACCGACCTCCCTTTCTTCCTCACTCTCGAGCCGACCGATCGTTCCCGGGCGTCTCGTCGCCACCGCTCCTCTGCACATTTCGATGTGATGGAGACGGGGTACGACTTCATTCTCGACATTCCGTGGTCTCGTCGGTTCCGCAGCACCGAGGCCGATTGGGCGACCAACACTCTCGTTCTCAAAACGAAATGTGGACAGACGTATCGCGTACCTTTCATAGGTACCACCGCGACACCACGCCCCGATCCTCCTCCCCCGGAGCCTTCCGTGCCCACACCATCTCCTTCTATCACTGTCACCTCGCCTCGGCAGTTCGCCCACTTCATCCGACAGGACGACGTCACTTTTTGTATGGTAAACGTGACGGATCTCTTACACTATGATCCACCCTGTCCCGACGCCGAGCTCATCCCCCTGGAGCCAGATCCTCCTCCTATCTCCATGACTCGCATCTCTACTTCCGTCCCTCCGCTGTCCGTCGAGTTCACCCCGCCGTCGCGCGCTGACGCTGACGCTGAGGAACTCGCACGATATACAGCTGTCCTGGAGCCCGCAGTTCGTGACCTCATCCGAGAGTACCACGACATTTTCCCATCGTCGTTCTCGTACGCCGGCATCCCACGGATGCGCAATGTCGAGCACTCCATTCAGCTTGTGTCTGACTATCGTGTTCACCACCAGGCACCCTACAGACTCTCGATCCCCAAGGCCACCGAGCTTAAGCGTAAGCTTGAGGAGCTCCTAAGACTGGGTTTCATTAAACCCAGCAACTCCCCGTGAGGTGCACCCGTCCTCTTTGCTCGCAAAGCGGATGAAACTCTTCATCTCTGCATCGACTACCGCAGTCTCAACCGCTACACGGTTAAGAACAACTACCCCATGCCTCGTTCCGATGAGTTATTCGACCGCCTAGCAGGCGACCGCTTCTTTACGAAGATTGATCTTCGTAGTGGTTACCATCAGATCCGCGTCGCTGCAGCCGACCAGCAGAAGACCGCGTTCCGATCGCGCTTCGGCCATTACGAGTTTATGGTGATGCCATTCAGCCTCACCAACGCACCCGCTACCTTCCACACGGCGATGAACGACATCTCCAGGGACATCCTGGAGCAGTACGTTCTCGTCTACCTCGACGATATCTTGGTCTACAGTCGTACCCTTGAGGAGCACCTCAGACACCTCCGCGACGTCCTTGACCGCTTGCGCAGACATGGCTTCTACGCCAAGCTAAGCAAGTGTCGCTTTGCCCAGCACAAAGTGGATTTCTTAGGACACTACGTGTCTGACCAGGGTCTCCACATGGACGACGCGAAGATCACTGCTATTGCAGAGTGGCCTGCCCCCACATCCGCCAAGCAGCTTCGCAGCTTCCTAGGTCTGACCAGCTACTATAGTAACTTCATCCGGGGATATGCTAGGTATTCCTACGTACTTACCTCCACCCTCCTCCGGAAGAACCCACCCTGGGCCTGGACACCCCTCCACAAGGACGCCTTCCGCGCCCTCAAGAAGGCGGTGACATGCACACCGGTTCTTCACCTACCCGAATTTGATCTCCCTTTTATCCTTACCACCGATGCGTCAGACTTTGCTGTAGGAGCAGTGCTTTCTCAGGTTTTCCCCTCCTCCCCTGATTCCTCTCATCCTCGTATTCCTCTCTTCCCACTGCCTACCCCTACCACTGCTTCCCGACTTACGCCTACTCGTACAGCTACTGACGAGCCTTCTTTTGACTATTCTCCTACCATCGTCGAGGACGGCACTGTCGAGTCTCGCTCAGGTGATTGTCTGATAGCCTTCTACTCCCGTCAGCTCCTGGTCGCCGAGATAAACTACACCGCTGATGAACGTGAGGTTCTCGCAGTAGTTTATGCCGCTCGGCACTGGCGTCACTACCTGCACGGCGCACCATTCACGGTGCGCACGGACAACTCTGTTGTCCAGGCTTTTCTGACAAAACCGAAGCTCACTCCTCGACAGGCTCGCTGGTGGCGCGACCTATCCGAGTTTAGTTTCACCACTGAGCACATCAAGGGTGACACTAATCGGGTCGCAGATGCCTTATCCCGGCGCCCTGACCACGACCGGGAGCAGATCTAGCTCTCTTTCATCTCGGTCACCACCGTCCAGCACTCGGTGATCGACGAGTTTTGCACTCAGTACCGCCACTGCCCCGACTATCGCGACATCCACGCGACCCTCCGGAGTGGCAAGACCGTATCGAACTACTCTCTCGGAGACAACGGTCTTGTGTACTGGCACGGTTCACAAGGCACCAGAGAGCCCCGTATTTGCGTTCCCTCCACTGGACAGCTACGTGTCCGAGCAGTAGCAGAGTTCCATGACCAGGCAGCCGCCGGTCATATGGGCTTCCACAAGACGTTGGCTCGTGTGAACCGCCTGTACGTCTGGCCGAAGTGCAAGGACTTTGTGAAGGACTACGTCGCAGAGTGTCCTACCTGTCAGGAGGTGAACAGTGCGAACCACCTACCTTATGGTTTGCTCCAGCCTCTTCCTATCCCTGAGGGTCGTTGGCAGTCCATCTCGATGGACTTTATCGGTCCTCTTCGTCCACCGACCCCCCGCGGTCATGATGCTATCCTGGTCGTCGTCGACCACTTCGAAGCGTGCACGCTTTGTTCTGTGCCGCTATGCCATCAGTGTACGTGAGGTCGCCTACATCGTGTTTGACCGAGTCGTGCGTGACCACGTCTTACCTCTGAGCATCATATCGGACCGTGACCCGCGCTTTACTAGCCGATTCTGGCGACGACTCCACGAGGTGTACGGCACTCAGCTGCGCTTCTCCTCGTCTTACCATCCTCAGACTGATGGTCAGACCGAGATCACGAACAGGACTCTCGGAGATATCCTCCGAAAGATCGTTCGTGACGACCAGTAGTGAGATCTCCATCTTGCCCACGCGGAGATAGCCTACAACCACGCCGTCTCGCCAGCTACGGGGATGTCGCCTGACTATTGCGACCTCGGCTATCACCCTCGTGTTCTCGCGGACTTCCTTCGACCGTCACAGATGCACCCCGACACGAGTTGTTCCGCGCTGGATGATTGGGTTGCACACATGACGTCGATCATGAAGACCGCACATGAGCACATAGCCGCTTCCCAGACTCGCATGACGGCACGTGCAAACCGAGCGAGGATGGATTATCCATTCAAAGTCGGTGACGATGTGCTTATCGACGCCTGCCACTTACAGCTCGAAGCGGACACGCTTCGCAAGTCTCGACGTCGCTTCTTTGGCCCATGCCGCATCCTCCAGGCCGTCGGTTCTGATACAGCATCTAGCCCGGTCAGCTTTCGTGTGAAGCTGCCCGATTACCTACGCCAGGCTCGTGTGCACGATATCTACCACGTCTCGTTACTGCATCCTTATCGCAGACCGTTTGAGCGTTTGGCCGGACGACCATACGAGCGCCCTCCACCCATCATGGTGGACGGTCACGAGGAGTTCCTCGTTTCAGACATTATTGGTCGACGAGTGACCGACGACAACCCTCCCCACGTTGAGTATCTCGTACAGTGGAAGGGTTACCCTGATGAGGAGGCTACCTGGGAGCCCCTCGAGCACTTGCAGCACGCTCGCATGTTGGTGAGTGCCTATGACCGTGCTCGTCGTGCTAGGTTCACTGCTCCTCCTCAGCCCACTAACCCTCCTCCTTCTCCCCCAGCTGAGGAGACCGCTGAAGTCGAGCCTGCTCCATCTGAGGCAGACCTTCAGCAGCAGTCGGATGCTTCTGTGCGTCCACAGCGCACTCATCGTCGTCATGCTCGATACGACGATTGACTCTGACTTACCTTCGCACGCCCTTGACTTCTCAGTACTCCATCCACTCTAGTTTTGCTACTTCAGCTCGTCGACGTTGCGGCTCTTCCTCGACGACATTCCGGACTTCTCATCGTGGACGTCATCGGCAGCTTCATGGACTTCGTCACGATCAGCTCTGCCTACTTCAGACGTCATCACTCTCTTACCACTTTACCCTGTACATTACCCTTGTTGTGTCGCATGATGGTCTCCTTTTAGCCGGGTTCCTCTGAGTTGGGCTCTCCCTTGGTATACGCATAGGCATCGAGACCGTAGCGTTGCCCTGGCTTCCCATCTTACGGATGTAGCTCCGACTTCCCTCACTTTAGGAGTCGTTTGCATGATTCGCTTACCCATCACTTTTTCTACCCTATGCCGGCCCTCACGCCCTAGTTAGGAAGCCCCGCATGCTTCATCTAGGTGCGCCCAGTATACCAGGCTCCCTTGTTCCCTTGCATGGTCGACCCTCCATAGCGGTCACCCCTTAGACGAGCTTTACCCGCCCTGATGGTCTATCTGTTAGGGTCAATGGTTCTGTTCGCTCCAAGTTCCCTACCTTCGTTGAGCCTGATGACATGTGTCTCCGTGTTATCTATGTGTGGATGCCCTTAGGAGTTTTCGACCCCTAGGCTGCATTCGCCACCCTCAGAGACCATCCTACCCTTTGGTTTGCGACACACTCCTCCTCTGACATATGTTTGACTTGTTGTTGCTTGTTGCTCTCAGACGGAGGCTACTGCCTTTGACATTTCTAGGATTTAGTTGTTCTGTTTTTGTTGTTCTTAGGACTTATACACTAGTCAGCTGTCCCGAGACTGAGGCTACTGCCTCCAACATTATAGGATCTAGTTGTCACTACTTTCTGCTTTCCTAGGACATGTATGCTAGTTAGTCGCTTCTGCTTTCCTAGGACATGTATGCTAGTTAGTTGCTTCTGCTTTTACTTAGGCTGTTAGATGTGACATTGCTGTTTTGTGACATCTTATATCCTAGGTTGCACCGCATGGACTCAGCATGGAGCTTGCTCCGCATCCTATACTACTCAGGTTTTCTTTTCTTTGGTAGAGTTCCGTTTCTTGGCGGAAGCGTGCTTGTATATAGGCGATCCATCACAGGCCGAGGATCGTGTAGCGGACCTCTGGTGGGCCTGTGAGACCAGCTCCTTGGCCTGTTCTCACAGACCTGTGTTCTATTCGGGGGCAGTCCAGTTCAGTCCACTCCAGGCCGGTACCTCAGTCGGTGCCAGCCAGTCCAGTCCAGTCCGGTCAGTCCGCTGGGGTATACCACAACAGTTGTTTGTTTTCGTCCTCATTCTTGACTTGCACATTTTGGAGTACGTGCGTTGGAGTCTTGCGTGGGGAGCTGCGTTGTGCCATCTCGCTCCCCTCTTCTTCCTCCATCTCCATCTCAGCCCAGGCGGAGCACCACATCTGGTGGGTCCACTACAGCTATGGTGGATGGGTAAAGAAGATGGAGGAGAGAGGTGGTGTGAGGTGGTTGGCTATGGAGGATGGGTGAAGAAAGTGGAGGAGGAGAAAGATGCGCGGTGACCGATATCTCCCCCTATTCTAAGTGTTCGGGTTCGTCTTCACTAAGTTATCCCTAGTCTCGGACTTCAAAAAGCTCACATTTGCAGCAATCAATCCTACAGCAGATATGCAGAAAACACAGACTTGCAAAAACACAGATTTCAAAAAACGGAGATTTTGCAGATTTTGCAGATTTTGCTGATTTTACTGATTTTGCTGATTTCGCTGATTTTTATCGTTTTTGCCCAAGGAGGGAGGACCGAAAAACACAGGTTTGTGTTTCCTACCCCAAACAACGTCAGAATCACTCCTAACCTGGTGGGCTCCCTGCCTGTACCCTGTGGAAGACCCCTATAAAATTGGGGGTGATTCCGTCGCCGTTTGCCCTTACTTGCCATTTTTGGGCGTCGTCCGGGTCTCAAGGCGAACATTTCGATAAAGTCTGTTTCTCGTTTTTGGGGAAAAATGGACCCAGACGACCTACAGGTTCTGCAGTTCATCTGTGTATGCCTAGGATATGAGGTCTGAGAAGTCCCAGCCCTCATATATTTGGTTTGGCGGAATTGGCCTAAGCGCCTCCCGGTCCCATTGGCCCCTTTGTGCCTTTTTCGGACCGACCCGTGCTCCGGAGGTTGGCCATCGACTTTTCAGCAGCGACATCAACAGCTAGGGGTTTGGCTAGGCATCAACAGCAGCAGCAAGATTATTATGAACAGCAACAAAAATCGTAGTAAAAGGAACAACATTTTTCCCTACCTCCTATTTAACGCGGTCGATTAGAGCACGGGGGCGGGGGGAAACAAGCGTGTTACAAATAGAGCACGAGGGAGAGTGAGACTAAACTTCAAACAGGCACATGGGTAGAGGAATGGTTACAACACTTATGACACTAGACTAAATAAAAACATAAGTAGCGATCTACACCCAAGTAAAGATTTGGACGAAACAAGAAGAGAGAGCGAGTATAACTCACTCCCAAGCATGCACACACAAAGTGGGAAGTAGCGATTCACTATGGAGTGAAAAAATGGACAAAGCATGAGCTCAAGATGACTCAAACACTAGAAAAGCAAGGATACAAGCAGCGATTTATACCCAAGTGAAAATTTGGACAAAACAAAGAGAAAGAGTGAGTGAAGCTCACTCCCAAGTATGCACTCACAAAGTGGGAGGTGGCGATTTACTATGGAGTGAAGAAAATGGACAATGCATGAGTTCGAGATGACTAGAACACTAGAATGAGCAAGAATACAAATTGCGATTTACACCCAAGTGAAGAATTGGACGAAACAAGAAGAGAGAGTGAGTGTAACTCACTCCCCAACATGCACACACAAAGTGGGAAGTGGCGATTTACTATGGAGTGAAGAAATGAACCACGCATGAGCTCAAGATGATTAAAACACTAGAATGAGCAAGAATACAACTCGCGATTTACACCCAAGTCAAGAATTGAAAAAAACATGAAGAAAGGGTGAGTGTAACTCACTCCCAAGCATGCACACAGAAAGTGGGAAGTGGTGATTTACTATGGAGTGAAGAAATGGACAATGCATGAGTTCAAGGTGACTAGAACACCAGAATGAGCAAGAATACAAGTTGCGATTTAAACCCAAGTGAAATAATTTGAAAAAATAAGAGGAAAGAATGAGTGTAACTCACTCCCAAGCATGCACCCACAAAATGGGAAGTGGCGATTTACTATGGAGTGAAGAAATTGAAAATACATGAGCTCAAGATGACCAGAACACTAGAATGAGCAAGAATACAAGTTGCAATTTACACCCAAGTGAATAATGGGACAAAACAAGACGAAAGAGTGAATGTAACTCACTCCCAAGGATGCACACACAAAGTGAGAGTAATGGTTTACTATGGAGTGAAGATATTGACAATGTATGAGCTCAAAATTATTAGAA